TGCTTGTTCAAGTCCCAGCTTTTCCACTTCCTATCCAGTTCCCTTCTTATGGCCTGGGAAAGCACAGGAGGACAACCTCAAGCCTTGGGACCCGGCACCCATGTGGGTGACCCAAACGAAGCCTTGGTCCTGGCCTCAGATCAGCTCAGTTTAATCATTGTGGTCATTTGGCGAGTGAACCAATAGATGGAAGATCTTTCTATCTCTTCTCTCTGTAAATCTGACTTTCAAGTAAAACTAATTAAGCCTAAAAAAAATATTTTGAAGTGCAAAAAATAAATATCGTTAAAGGAAACATAATTCATTTATTTCTCAGTTTCTTATCAGTTTTTTCTTTACTTTTAATTTCTAAATTAATTAAGTCTTATAGATTTTAGAGAAAATGTCATGTAAAAAATAATAGAATAGGTTTTAGATCATTAGATATTTACTGATTACTGTCCTAGGGTTACAACTTCAAGCCATTGAGAATCTTTAAATCATATATGTCAAACCCATCATTTTATATTAATTTAACATCAAGGTATTGCAGGTTGCAATATTATAATTCTGATGTTTTAAAAAGAGAAGCATGTGTAAATTTTGTAATGTGTAACTATAACCAACAATAATTTGAAAAACTAGTTTTATTAATAGTTCTAAATTATTCCTTTCAAGATCCCATTAAATTTTACATTTTGTTTCACTTGAAATTTTAATTGAATTGTTTCAAAGGCAGAGTATTACACACAAAGAAAATGAAAGACAGAGGGTAAGAGAAATCTCTTATCTGCTGGTTCACTCCCCAAATCCTGGGCTGGCCCAGGCTGTCGCTGGGAGCTGAGAACTCAGTATGGCTCTGCCCTGTGGGTGACAGGAACACAACCACTTGACCTATCCCCTGCTGGATCTGCAGAATGCCCCTGCGTGCATCAGTAGTAAAATGGAGTTGAGTCACAAACCTCCGTATGGGAAGCTGGTGTCCCAAGCAGCAGCTTAACTGCTATGCTTAATGTCATTCCCATTGCTCAGATTCTAACCACCCTTAACTGATGAACACAGGCTACTCCCTTTGCCATTATGTGCTGGACATTTTTTTTCTCCTGGAAAACATTATAGTTCTAGGAAGTTGAATTTTCACAGAAGAAGTAAAAAGCAAACAAACTATATTTTACTAACTTTGCTAATCTCCACAAATCATCTCATTTAATATCTAATCTAGTAGAGGGTATGGATGATCATTTCTTAATGCATAAGTGTTGGATTTATGCTGTAAACGAGAAGCACGTTGCCTCTAGGTTCACAGATAATAGCTTTTAAATAAATTACAAACTACTTTTAACTGAACTGCAATGGCCACAGAATAATTTAGGTGGTAATTATGTAGCTTATAGAAGGAAGAGATATGTAATTTTCCTTATTTTTGGACACATTTACACATCAGAAAAAAAGTAAAGGCAATGAAGACTTCTTTTGAAGTTTTTACTATCTTTGACATTAAAAGAATAAGGCTGAAGTTACTGATATAAGCAGTGTTTTAGAACCACAGTTATCCACAGATTTCAATTATACTTGCCATCTTTTTCTCCATCATGCCCTAACAAACTCAATGTTGGAAATATTAACTTACTACATTATCTTCAGTCCAAAAGCTTTTACTGACAAGTGTGAGCTTATCTATAACTTATGAATTTTGTAGAAAATAGATTTTATTCATCAAAGTTCCAGTTTCAATACTATTACCTGTCTCCTTTTTCCTCTTTTTCTCTCTGCTTCCCTAATCTTCATTATATTCTTGTTGTTCCTTTCCAACTCTTCCTGTATAGTGAGAACTAAAACCTCACTATACTTGTATACACAGTGCACAGTAGAAGCAAAACATACATTTACTTCAAGCATATTAACTTTCTGTTAATTATATAAGGCCTCCGTGAATCATGTCTGTGTTTTACTCTGTTTTGTATATTCATATTCAAGTGTCATCCTGAATGCTGAGTTTTGTATCATAAAACAATCTCACTTTCTCTCTAAGAATGTCAATGAAATGGAAATAAAAGCTGACAAATGTCAAGTCCATTTCTGTACCACATCATTAAGAAATGATGTTATTGGGCCCGACATGCTAGCCTAGCAACTAAAGTCCTCACCTTGCGTGTGCCAGGATCCCATTTGGGCACTGGTTCTAATCCTGGTGGTCCTGCTTCCCATCCATCTCCCTGCTTGCGACAAGGGAAAGCAGTCGAGGATGGATCAAAGCCTTGGGACCCTGTATCGGTGTAGGAGACCTGGAAGAGGCTCAAGTCTCCTGGGTTCAGATCTGCTCAGCTCCAGCCATTGTGGTCACTTGGGGAATGAAGATATCTGCTGATCATCCTCTCTATCACTCCTCCTCTTTGTATATCTGACTTTCCAATAATAACCAATTATCTTTTAAATAAAACAGTAGACATTATGTTACTGACAGTAGAAACATGTTTCAGAGATCCAATAAAGTAATTTGGGACCTCACTAGCCAGAATAATTTTTTTGTTTTGATTATTCTCTGCTGATTTCCTCATTTGCGCAAGCCGTAGATTTGTATTCTTAAATTTTAACAGCAGAAATGTGAACTGCAATATTAAAGCTGACTTCTATGCTTTGGTAATACACGCAGGTGGCTCACCATTGGTGGAATGACAAAGAAATCAGTGCATTTATACAAGTGTAGAGACAGTGGGGACTTGGAAGGGTACAACAAAATGCTACAAAGATGCCTTAGGGCTACTTCATACAAGAGACTAAAAAATGTAACCTAAACCAACAGGGAAGAGAACTGAGGTTTCTCTATCACCAAATAACATGAAAAACATTGTTTCCAGTGCTCTTGTAAGGTTATTTTAGTAACCAAAGATATTCTTAGTAGAGCTACACTCCTCAAGCTATGGGGTGAGTTCCTTCAGAAACATACTGCCGCCAGGTTGTTATCTAAATCCACAAATATCAGTCATAACACAAATATCAACAGACTGTCAAGTGCTGGAGATGGAGCCTGAAAACTCTCTAAAGCAATGACTCTCTGGCCCAGGGTGGTAGCCTTGTGGCTAAAGTTCTCGCTGGCTCTAATCCCAGCAGCTCCACTTCCCATCCAGCTCCCTGCTTGTGGCCTGGGAAAGCAGTCGAAGAGGGCCCAAAGCCTCGGGACCCTGCACCCACGTGGGAGACCTGGAAGAGGCTCCAGACTCCTAGTTTTGGATCAGCTCAGATCTGGCTGTTGTGGCCATTTGGGATGTGAATCAGCAGGCAGAGGAATGTCCTCTCCATCTCGCCTCCTGTCTGTATATCTGACTTTCCAAGAAAAATAAATAAATTTAAAATAAAAAAATTTTAAAAAGTGACTCCTCAACCTGGCTGTTTTTAAGGAATGATTTCAAAAGAGCCAGAAAACAACATAGAGACCCCTGCCATTCCAGAGTTTCTACGTCAATGTGTCTGGTGGGGACTTGGTAACTGTAGTTTTTTTTTAAAGTACACTAAGTGATTTTTAAATATTCAACCGGAATAAAACACACAGGAAGTCTTGAAATCTTATATCTTGTGCTTTATAATAATAGCACAAGGGTTACTTTGGGAAGTTAATGGAAATAATTTTATGTTGGTGTAAATTTTTTGAAATCTATACACATCAGGGATCTTTAAAATGTCATGAAAACATTTATGAACAAACTGCATTAATTTAAAATGTTTTTGCAGCAATAAAATTGCTTTTTAGTCTATGTCTCATGGTAGGACATACAAGATGCTGTGATGTTCCAAGCATTCCTAACCGTTTTTAAGGGAAGGATGTGTCTCAGAGACAGCAAAAGGAAGGCAAATTTTATGATACATGTGATGTCAAGATATTTTCAGATTCCTAAGTAGCTGTAGCTGATCAATGATTCTCAAACAAGTAGCAAGTGCTAGAGGACTGGATGACACTAGGAATAGTTCCCAGAAGTATTCAGTCTACAAGCATTGGCAATGGGTAAACGGAGGCAGAGAAAGGATTAGCTACGGGTTGAAAAATGACAAAACTTGGAACAGTAAGTAGGATTCAAATTCAGGATTCCTGCCTCCATTTAACATAATCAGTGAGAGGTCAAAATAACAGATGTAGGTGACCTAAACATTTTAATAGCTCCAGGAAAGCAGTACTATGAAGACCTAACCCTTGAAAAGCTGTAGTGGTAAAAATGCTTGGAAACAGGCAGAAATTATTGCTTGTTTGTCTAATGCTATTTTTTAAGATTTCCCCTTGTGATCGTCCAAACATGTGAACAGTTTACATTCCTTCCTGTTGGTTTAGTAGAGATCTGAATGCAATAATGTGTTAGCCTCTTCTTTGGGCTGAATCCATCAGAGTTATGGGCAGAGACCTGGTGACCAGCACAGGCCGTATCCTCACAAAGCAAGGTCACAGGAGGCTCTCTTGTCAGCCCCTGGCAGTGTGCTTTAAGTGGGGAACTTGTATTACTAGGATACTTCTTTTTTGGTGAGTTTGACTAAATGTTATGTTTTCCTCATGCTACTCCATATCATTCTCTCCTTCCATCAAAATTTCCTGAACTTTGCAGTTGACCGTGTGTTTTCATGTACCTCCAAACTACACCCACGAGGTCTACTCTTACTTTCTCTTGAGTCATTTGTAGCCAAAGCCTTTGGCATATCATTTGCCTTCACTGATATTTATCTTTACTTCTTCTTCTTCATAAAATTCAGGCTAATAATGAATCAGAAGCTAGTCCAGATGATCTTCTGAGGTTTCTTCCAGCTCTGAAGTGTGATAGATCTTTTTGCCAATTCAATATTTTCTTAGTTCCATACAAATAACACAGTTTGGTCAAAATACAGGCCTTCATTGGACAATTCTATAATTATGGACTGACAGCAATCATTTGATTTAAGTCTATTAAATATGCCACATGGGTAACTCTTACCTGTTTGTTTGTTTGTTTTTTCTATTGACATTCCTATTTGCTTTTGAAGAATTTCCAATCCTCTCTTACCTTTTGACTTACGCTCATGGTAAGACCTGCCTCGGTAACGCGGAGCATCCAAATGCAAATTCTTAAGATCTTCTTGCCACGAGCCTGGATTGAAGTGTTTAAGCACTTCTTCCACAGTATCAAATTCTGCAACTGTTTTGTCCAGAGCATCCGCAATCAGAGTGGGATCTGTTACTGATGGACTGTGATACGATACGCTGTGATACGATACGCCCTAAGAATGATACACAACCCTCAGTACTCAGAAGTCCATTACTATTTAACAGCAATCATATGAACATATAGAAGGAAGATAAAGAGGGAGACGATTAAATACCACATCAATAAACAGCAAAGAAGTGTCACCTGGCATTATCTTGCCATATCCTTAAGTAAGCCATTTTTTGGTAACATAGAGTCATTCACTTTTCTGCAAGTCAAAGTCAAGCAGAATATAGAATTTCTAATTCATTTAAACTGTAATGACTTAAAAAGACGTGGGTAAAAGAGAAATAATAAAATTAATCCATCCAGTTTCCTGGTTCAAAGTCCAAAATTAGTCATTTAGCAACAAAGAATGGTGGGAATTAAAATTGGAAACTCCTTTCCTACAAGATTTGATATTTATTCTGTAAGTACACATGTAACTCTGAAGCTCTCCCTTTATATTGTGCATGCTATGTGAACAGTGTTTGAATCTTGGCACTGTAAACAACCTATTCACTACCAACAAGGATCTTTAGCTGTGAAACTGGCTTTGTTGACTTAAGAGGACCCACATAAGAAGGATATTTTAGACGAGTGTTGTAGATGGATATCTATCCCAGTTGCCATCAATATATTCTCAAAATATACTTTTGAAATGAGGAACACAATATCGCTGAACATCTAAAAAGAATAATGTAGTAGAATGAATCCCCACAATATGTTTCCAAGTACTTACTTCACTAACCCTTGTACAATCCAGGGGTAAATGAGTCATGATTCAAATACCTCTGTAAAAATTTATGACCCATTAACAACCAAATAGAGAGTGTATAGCCTCAAATGATTTCTAAACGTTTTTAAGGAAACTACCAAACAAGTAAAAATACCCTAAGGTTAAGTATCTCGTATCACTAAGGAAAAATGGAAATTAATGAAAACTTGTTCTTGTGAAACTTAACTGAAATATGCTTTCAAGAAATGATATCTCTGGATCACAGATAGCAATGTCCACAAATTATATTCTCATCCTTAGACAATATTTTCTCTCTTTAACCACAAAGATTCAAAGGTCAGTAAATGATTAGATGGCCACTTGCTCTCAGATGAATGGTTCTTCTTTAGCAGAACTAAGTGGAGAGTGTGGGGAAGCGGGGGTGAGTAAAGGGAGTACTCGATCATTAGTGTGACACTGAAAGCAGTTTTGTTTCTTTTGGAAGATTGATTTATTTGAAAGGTGGAGTTACAAAGAGTGAATGGGGAGGAGAGAGAGAGGGAGAGGAAGAGGGAGGGAGAAGGAGGGAGAAAGAGAGAGAGGGAGAAAGAGAGAGACAGAAAGAGAGATCTTCTTTCATCCCTTATTCACTCCTCAAATAGCTGTAACAGCCAGGTTGAGTCCGGTGGATACCAACAGCCAAGAGCTTCTTCCAGGTCTTCCACAGAGTGTCATGGGCCCAGGTATCCAGGCCACTTTTGCAACTCTCCCAGGTCATGTAGCAGGGAGCTGGATTGGAAGTGCAGCAACAAAGACATGAATTTGTTGTCCGCATAGGATACCAGCATCACAGGCAGTAGCTTAACATTTTATTCCACACCATCTGCCCCAGGAGCAGTTTTTAAATATGTACTATGAGGCATAGCAAGTGGGAGAAAACAAGGGGTTGGAGATGTGGGTGGAGAGATGAGACAGATTGATAAGTATGTCCAATCAGATCTTATGTTTTTCTCTCTGCATTTAGAGAAAGCATACATTTAACTTTCTGTCAACTATGTCAAAGTAGACATCCTCATCCTAGACAGAACTTACCCAGCTTTCAACATCTGCTTATGGATCCATGTAGCTTCTGCACGGAGAACCAAATAATGTATCTGGAGGTACTAACTTTGTCCTATACTGCTAGAAAGGCAAGGTATTTGCTAATATTTCAAGCTAACATAACAAAAGATCTCAATAATCTCATTGATGCAATGGGCTCTTGTTTAGGTGCAGCCCATTTGTTCATCTGCTTTTGATAGCTGAATTATTTAATGTATGTGTTTTTAGGTATGTGTATCTGACACAAGAGAACTGTCAGTGAAGCACATTGTTTTTATCGCTCACATTTCTTCTAGTGTCACAAGAGAGCTATGGATAACATTTCTAATTCAGTAATGTAATTCCAAATCCCCATTCAGCTTCCATCACCTTGGATAACATACAGTCTATTTGAATCATAAGTATTACATGACTTATAATCAGCCTTGTTTTACAATACTGTAGGTCTGAGATTAAGACAAAATCAAAATGAGTGGACTAAGTTAGGAGTATGACAGCATACAAATGAAAATGAAAATCAATGGGAATTAAAATGCCTCTCTTTTTGTTGAAATAAAAAGTAGAGTATTAATCAGGCTTTTCCCACACAAATAAAAGCTTCTTGCACAGCTCCCAGGGGAAAGCAGCTGCGAGGATCTATGGGGTGGCTCCTAACCCAGAGTACACTGACCTCTTCAAGATGGTTCCTCTCTTCATTGAAGAGGGAGAAACACTCTTTTAACATTAGGCTAATGAACCAATCCAAACCATGGGTTAAATGTGAACTTATCAGTATGCACAAGCTTTATTGCTGTTTTTAAGAACTTAGGGCAGTTGACAGAAACATTGTTGATGGTTGAGAAAATATTTGAATTACTGTACGACCTAATAAACCACAAGAACTTTATCTTTGAAGTAAACAAGTGAAAACTTTTATAAGAAAGAACTAACTGATACAGTATACATCTGATCTCATTTGGCTTTTGTTATATAGCTATAAAAAAACCAATTCTAAAGTTAACTTATTTACTTTCAAATGATAATAATCTGGAAAAGATGGACCAAAAATGTAAACTGTTTTCAACAACTAAAGACTGGCCTATGAGGAAGTTAGCATTGGGTCCAATTGGACTTGATCCTAGCTTAGAATGTTCTCAAGAAACCCAGTGTGAGGCAAACACCCAGGTTGAAAGCTTGTTTGAGGGGTGAGCAGATACTCAACTTAGAACTGATACCATTGGAGTTCAGGGCTGAACCTTTCCTAATACTCGCAGGAATGGGGAGACTGTTTCCACCAAGGGCCATTTGTTTGTTTATGACATCTCTAACAGGCCATGCAAAATAGTCAACTTAAAAAGTCAGCCTACTGATGCACTGAACTTGAAGTGCCACCTGCCCTGGCCAGGCTACAGCAGTGATTCTGTGGAGCTTTCACAGTCTCAGCATGCCCCTTCCTAAGAAGGCAACACAGCATCCCCCTCTTTGACATGACCGGGACTGTCATTCATTAGCAAAGGCTCCTTGAAGGGAAAGGATGATTAAGCCACGAGGAGCTGTCTTTCATAGACACCTGAGAAGCCAGAGCCTCCCTTGATCCCCAGTCTGGGTTGCAGCAGCTGCACTAGAGTCCAGCCTCAGATGTTCCCATCAGGCTTTTGACTTCCCCATCAATTGCTTAGGTGAGCAGATCCTGCTTTATTTAGACTTACACTCAACTGACAGTGATGACCTTAACCAGGCCAAGATTAGAACATGCAAAAAGCTAGACTATCAAAAGCAAGCAAAACTATCTTCATGTGACATTGGAACCCTTGGTCATCTGTTGGCATTCTAGTCTCAGCAGCAACTTCTGGTGAATGAAATGGCAGTAGAAGCAGCAGCTGAGGAAACCTCATCACATGGGACTACATCACTTTAGGGGGAAAAATCAATTCTATCCCTCTTGAGAACCACAGAGGAACTTTTTCCATCTCTTCACTGTTCTGTGCACTACTGCATTGATTATCTCACTGTTTATTGCTAACTAGGTATTACAAAAGCATTGGTGAAAACAAGATCTGTTCTTTCTGCGCCAACTAGAAAAGGAGACAAAATACTGAGAAAGAACTAAATTTAGAGAAAAAAATGTGATATTAATCATCATAGTCTCAGAGTCAGTTATGTTTCACAGCCAGGTCATATGGAATATTGTACATGCTTGATTTGAATTTAGGTTAAGCTACTATAAACACAGATTTTTTTCAAGTCTCTAAAGATCATTGAAAATTCAAAGGTGAACAGTTTACTCAGGAATATTCAGACAGTAATTTTGAAAATCTCCCACTTACATGTGGGCCATAGATCAGTTGGATACATTTGATATGTCTGGACAGTGCTTTTGTCAGAATGTTCTGCTTTAAAATGAAATACATCTGTAATAAAATACTGAGCATTCCTGGAAATGTCTGTGAGAGGAACAAAAGGCTGTGAGAGAAACCCATTGTACCCCAGTGAAATAGAGGGACACATCCTGCTTCAGGTCTGACTTCTCAGGAGCCAAAGGTCTTTAATGCAGCTGAGGTCCTCCTGGGAATGACCTTAGCCATTCTGTCAGTTTCTTTCACTAGCAACAGAGCAATAAATTACTTACTGAGATAGAGCTGGTGACTGATTCCCAGTTGGTCTCTGATGCTGCTGCAGGCTGGAAATCTTCCTGGAAGGCAAAGAAACATCTACATGACTCAGTTAAATTTCTTTTCATTTCATTATATGCAGTTCAAGAACTTCCACCTTCTGAATCTTCTTCCAAGCGACAACGGAAATAGGGCAACATTACTGTTGGGCAGGTCAGCGTTTGTCCCAAGGATTTCTCCTGATGAACTTCATGCATTAAAGACATGGAAAGCCATGGTAACATTTTGCTGCATGTACTGGTAAAATGTGTACAGGCACAAGATCAAATTTTAACTCTTCTGTCTACTGGCTGGGTGACCTCATCTGACCTACTTCACCCAGTTATTCCCTTTCCTATACAAAGTTGGCACAGAATACTTAAATTACAAACGTGTCTGAATGAAATAATTGTGATATTACAAATAGTACTAAATTAAGTAGTTAATATGGAGTAATAATGATAATTATTACTATTGATATTCACTTGGTTATATGTTCAATCTTGGCCGCTGAGTTAGTCAATAATGCTAGTATCTTTTCAAAGATAAGCTAATTTCCAAAGAATTGTTCCTGATCTATCAACAAATGTCAGGAAGAAACACAGACAAGAAAGAGTGGGAGTGAGAAAGTACTATCCAAATGAGTCAAGAAGGGACAGCATAGATCTAAGAAAGTTACCCCTGACAGGATAAAAATGATCTTTGATCTTCAAGGGCCTCATAGAAACACCTTAAAAGGCACACTGACCTTCTCTTGGCAAGTGACTTTCATGTTAATTATCTCAGGACCAGTAAGCTCAGAAAACACATGAAAAGGATGACTTTTTGTCACTCTGTCAAGATAAATCACCTTGTTAAAAATGAATGTGAAGTTAGAATTGGCCAGACATCACTGTTTTGTAGTAAATGCAGGGAAAATAGTAAAGAACTCAAAACTGTGGTCTCTGAATCCTTCAAAACAGAATCCTCTTACAGGGTCTGGTGCAATGGTATCTGCAACTCATTCTAAGTTTTCTGCTTAAAACAAGTGAGTTGGCATGAAGTTATGAATTATGTACAAACAACGGAGTTTAAAAGTCAAAGCAGAGGGCCAGGTGAGATGGGTTAGTGGCTAACTCCTCACCTTCCAAGTGCCAGGATCCCATGTGGGCACTAGTTCGTGTCTCAGCTGCTCCATTTCCCATCCAGCTTCATGCCTGTGGCCTGGGAAAGCAGAGGATGGCCCAAAGCCTTGGCACCATACATTCACATGGGAGACCTGGAACAAGCTCCTGGCTCCTGGATCCAGGCTTTGGATCAACTCAAGTCCAGCCATTGCAGCCACTTGAGGAGTGAACCAGGGGACAGAAGATCTTTGTTTTTTTTTTTTCCCAAAAATCTGCCTTTTCAATAAAAATAAATCTTCAAGAAGAAAAAAAGATAGAAAAGAATACTCTTACATGAAAAGGACACTGAGTTTCCACAGCAGAAAGATGTTTGAAGACAAATGAAAGTTAGCCTTTAAAAGTGGTCTTCAGTGAGCAAATGGGATATAGCCAAAGGCAGGGGAGCCACAGACTTCTCCCAGTCTTGACCAAATTATTAGTGAGACTGATAAATAATGATCTAAAAATTTCTAAATCACAAAATTTTCATTGCTTTCTTATTCAAGATTTTTTTCAGCACCTATTATGTAATGCTTTCTAAGATGAAAAGGTTTGAAACTACCCCCATGCTCAAAAAATTCAAAGTATAAATGCAGAAACAAAGAGGTACTATAACCTCATGTAGGTGCTGGGACACAAATCCGTTTACCATGAAAGCAATAGGCGATTATACCTTGAGAGGAAGTGACTCAGGAAATATGGGAAGATGATTTTTGAGTGAACTTTTGAAAGTAGATGGTTATTAGTAAGACAGGTGGTATAGAAGATTCCGAGAAAGCTTGGTGCAAAGAAATTATACAGGAAATGCTGCAAGAGATAGGAGAATGTCAGTGAGTTATGCTGGGGACACTGAGGTACCAAAATGACAGACGGGTTGGACATGTCCAAGAGAAGCTTCTCTACATGGAAATGGAACTTGTGAAATATACCCGAATGAGAAATATAGATTTTGGGATATTATCCACACAAAAATGCAATTAAAGGACATAACGTATTATGTTAACTGTGTGTGATACTCATAAGAGGAAAATTTTTGAAATATTGGAACCAGAAATTATGTAGTCCAAACGCCTCATTTAAACAATCACAAAATTTATTTTCAGAAAGTAAAACTGTGTGCTCTGTGTCATGTGTTAAATATCTTATGGCAAAGCTAGGACTATGAGAGCTTCTTCTGAAGCTGAAACTGTACAGTGACTTTTAACTAAAGGCTTGGATATTGCATGTTGGTGGAAAGTTCTAGGAGGACATTCGCTTAGGTGTAAGCTATTTGGACCCGATACTTATAGGCACTGAGTTCTGAGACCGTACTTTGTTTTCTTCCATAGATATATAGTAAACTCAATTATTAAGCATTTTAAAGTATAAAGGACTTCTCATTCATAACATCTAGACATGTTTCACAAATAATTTTTAATTTCTTTCATTGGATTACAGTAGGAGTCTACTCAGAAAGATTAGTGGAACAAATGTTAAAGGATTTTGCTGTCTAATGTAAAATGTAACTATCTTTCCATAGAAACATAAAAAAATGGATATTTAAAATAAGCCAATTTTCCTTAAAGATACTTAATAAGTTTTCTGTTATGTGTTGATGCAATATTTAAAATAAACTTTTAAAAGGTAACAATATCCCTTCTAAAAATAAAACATTGGGCCAGGCAGGGTAGCCTAACAGCTAGAGTCCTTGCCTGGAACGCAGCAGGATCCCAAATGAGCACTGGTTCCAATCCTGGTGGCCCTTCTGCCCATCCAGCTCCCTGCTTGAGGCCTGGGAAAGCAGTCGAAGACAGCCCAAAGCTTTGGGATCCTGCACCCATGTGGGAGATCTGTAGGAAATTCCTGGCTCCTGGCTTTTGATTGGCTCAGCTCCAGCCATTGTGACCGGTTGGGGAGTGAATCAATAGATGGAAGGTCTTTCTATCTCTCCCCTTCTCTGTATATCTGACTTTCCAATAAAAAATGAAATAAATTAAAAAAAAAAAAAAAACTGAGCCTTCAGGGATTTGATCCAGAAAAGGGAAGATCAAAAAAAAAAAAAAAAAAAGAAACAGTTTGATAACTCTACCATTAATTACAGAATTCAAGCTATCAAGGAAAAATTGAACTAACGATATTTGCAGAAAAAACTCTGAAATTAAATCACCTAGTTTTCTCATGAAATATATTTTCCAAGACTCCTTATAATTTTTTGCAATGCTTATTTTTCCTCTCTTGCACCATAAATAACATCCCCAGTTCAAGATACAAACTTTCTCAAATGTATACTGGCTTCCACCCTTGAGTCCACATACTATCATCTGCTTAAAGCTCACCAGAAGGAAAGATCTGACTACTGCTTTCCTCTGTAATGTTATCCGATGTTGTCTCTCTATGGTTCAATGTCCTAAATGTGCCACAGGCTCCACTCCTACAATGATCTTCAAATCTTTCACATGAAGCTCCTAGTTTCTTTCTGTTTGAGTTTAAACTGATCTTAACCCCTCAGCTAAGGACATGTTCTCCTGACCTGTGCTAGTGGGCATTCCTCATAACTTATTCTATGTTTAAGTATCATATCTCTAACAGAACCTCATTGAACATTTTATTTGAAATACCCCCACTGTTATCCACACTTCTCATTCTACTTCACCTGCTAAATTTCCTTTAAAGTATTTTCTGAAATGATTCTCTTTGCTTATGTTGAACATCTCTTTCCCAACTAGAGTGTGTACTCCAGAAAAGTAGGGACTTTTTAAAAAATATTATTCTCTGCACTATCCTATTCCTCACTGAGTTTCTGATACACATGCCAATTACTCTGGCTCTTGGTAGGCACTTAGGAAAGGCTGATAGTTTCAAAGCCACGGTTTATTTTGATTGCTTGCTAAGTTATCCTTTTGCTTTACAGTTTTAGTATGATCTTAGATTGCTTCTCTAAAGTCCCAGACTCATGAAAACAAATTCATTTTTCATAGGTGCTCTTAGGGTAGCACTGCTCTTCCCATTACCTTAATGAAAGCTGAAATAGAACAAATAGTGAATAATCATTCAGGATATACCAACCACCAACCCAGTTTATAAAGAACATATTTTTGTTCTTTGGCATAGCACTGTAAAAATCTTATCCTATTTTTGACAGAAAAGATAGCACTCTGCTAACTCCAGGAAGCTAATGCAAATTCACTTCTTGATGTCCTCACCTCCCGCTCCTAAAGTGCTGCATCTTCCATCGCAAAACACAGGAGCTGGCATCTCTGTTCCTTGTCACCAATAGAAGGCAATCTTGTACACTTTGGTGCTGTGCGTGAGTTACTATAAACCAGATGTCAACTGGAGTGTCTAAGGAAGCTTACTGAAGCTCAGCAAGTGCAGTGAATTATCCATCATACTCTAATTATTACTGTAGTCAGATTAGAACCTGGGCAGCCATTGCATAATTCTCTGTCACATACTCTGTTCAACCCATCAAATAACATCATCTGCCATCCTATAATCAGAGGTAAATTAATGTGCATTGTCTTTACCTTGTAAGAAATAACTATGTTATTGATACACGTGAATGTATATTAAACTTAGGTACTTACATGAAAATAGTTCATAATTATATTTTGGGAATGAAATTCATCACTTGGCATTTTAAAATGAAACTCAGTGCCTCACTTTCTTATTATTTGGAGAAGTTTTGAAATAGTTAAAATGATTCTGAGACTTCCCTACTTAAATAGTATAGTTTGTTGGTTCACATGAGAAAAGTGTTATAAAATAGAAAGTCAGGGAGCTGTATAAAGTCCTAAAAGTGCTACTTAAAAGTACAGATAACTTATTTACCTAAGGGCAGTCTGAGTGAGACATTTTTAAGCATGAATACTGAAGACAGATAACATAAAATTGACACACTTTGCATGTAAAAAATA